CAAAGGATATTTTGATTTCCTTTGTGATTTGTTGTTTGAGTCATTGTCTTTTAGGAGTAGGATGTTTAATTTTTTTTTTTAATAGCCTAACACATTGCCTGTCCTGGAAAATATTCCATATTCACTTGAAAATAGTGTATGTTCTGTTGTTCGTTGGGATAGTCTATAGATGTCAGTTAGGTATGCTTGGCTTCTATGTTTATTCTGATTCTTCACTTCTTTTGTCTATTGATTCTATTCATTGTTAAACATGGGGGTACTGGGGCTGGGGTTGTGGCTCAGTGGTAGAGCTCTTGCCTAGCACGCGTGAGGCACTGGGTTTGATTCACAGCACCGCATATAAGTAAATAAAAAAGAAAAAAGTTTCGGCAACAACTAAAAAAATATTAAAAAAAGAAAAAAATGGGGTACTGAAGTCCACCACTATTATTGTTGAGTCCTGTCAGGTTTTGCTTCATATATATTGGGGCTCTTTCTTGGACTGTAATAAACTGGAGTCCTAATTTGAATGGGTTTTCTTTCTTTCTTTCCTCCTCCATATTTAAATTGCTAAGTAAAAAAAAATTTACCACTTATATATTATAAGTTTTACCACTGAGCTATATCTCAAGTCCTTTTTATTTTTTTTTAATTTTGAGATAGGGTCTTCCTAAGTTGCTGAGACTAGCCTTGAATTTGTAATTTTCCTGCTTCAGTCTCCAGAGTTGCTGGGATTACAGACATGCATCTCTACCACATCTGGCAAAGTACTTTATTTTTATGATTTTCTTAAGGACCTTCATTTTTTTCTAGATTTTTTTTTCTAAAAGCAAGTAGACAAACCAGATGCTAGTGAGCTATTAGTAACCATGATTGTTTAATTATAAATTATGTGTATTAATTTGGTTTATTTATTCAAACATATTAGTAAATGGCTGGATACATTATCCTATATTTACTACAATCTTCACGATAATTCAGAGCAATCTGAACAGTCAAATAATGTAGATATTTCCTTAAATGAAACCCAGTTTTGAAGAATTCATAAAGCAGCTTTTGTTACATCCTTGGATTTTTTTGTATTTACTAAATTTTTTTATTTTTAAACTGGTCAGAAAATTGTACACATTGATGAGGTGTGATGTAATGTTTTAATACATGTATACATTTTGTAATGTTTAAATCAGATTAAACATATTTATCTCTTCAAACATTCATAATTTCTTTATGGTGAAGGTTTTGAAAATCTTTTCTTTTTTCGTACCATGGTACCCAGGGGCACTTAATGAGTAAGCCACATCCCCAACCCTTTTTGTTTTTTATTTTGAGACAGGGTCTCACTAAATTGCTGACGCTGGCTTTGAACCTGTGATCCTCCTGCCTTAGCCTCCAAGGCTGCTGGGATTATAGGTATGTACCACCGCACCTGGCTCTTCTAGCTTTTTGAAATATATACTGCATTATTGTTGTCTAAAGTCACACTCCTGAGTAATAACACACCAGAACTTCTTGGTCTTATCTAACTGTAACTTAGTACCCATTGATCAACACTTCCTCAATGCCAATCCACCCACTGCCCACAGACTTGGGTAACCACCACCCTACTCCACACTTCTGTGAGATCAATTTTTAGATTCCATACATGAGTGAGATCAAGTAGTACTTGTCTTTTGGTGTCTGCCTTATTTCACTTAACCTAATGACCTCTTCCATATTATTGCAAATTACAATATTTCATTCTTTTTATGGCTGAATAGTATTCCATGGTGTATATTCTTTATTCATTTGTCAGTTGATGGATACTTAGATTGTTTACATTTCTGGGTTATTGTGAATAGAGTTGCACTAAACGTAAAGTGTGGATGCCTTCAACATACTGAATTCATTTCCTTTGATAACTACCCAGGAATGGGACTGATGGATGAGATGGTAATCCTATTTAAACATTTATTTATTTGTTTATTGTGCTGAGGATCGAACCCAGGGCCTCATGCATGCTAGGCAAACACTATACCACTGAGCCACACCCCCAGTCCCTATTTGAGCATTTTTTTCAGGAACCTTCATAGGTTTTCCCTAATGGATGCACAAATTTACATTCCTACCAATCGTGTGCAAGAATTCCCTTTTCTCCACCTCCTTGACAGTACTTGTTATTTTTAGTCATTTTTTTTTTACCTTTTGCTTCTTTTAAGAAAATTTGTTCGAATTAGTTATACATGACAGTAGAACACACTTTGGTACATCATACATAGATGGAGTATAATTTCTTTATTTTTAAAAATTTTTTTATTATATTTACTTATTTTTTTTTACAATTTCTCATTCTTGATAATATCCACTCTTACGAGGGTGAGGTAATTACCAAGGTGGTTTTGATTTGTACTTTCCTGATGATTAATGTTATTAAATATTTTTTCGTAAAACTCTCGGCCATCTGTATGTCTTCCTTAAGAAATGTCTATTCAGATCCATTTCCCCTTTTGGAATGGGTTTTCCAGTAAGCTGAATCATACTCTACTTTGTCCTTAAAAAAGTGACTACGTGGGGCTGGGGTTGTGACTCAGCAGTAGAGTGCTCGCCTAGTATGTATGTGCAAGGTGCTGGGTTCCATCCTTAGCACCACTTAAAAATAAATAAATAATAAAATAAAGGTATTGTGTCCAACTATAACTAAAAAAATATTTAAAAAAAAGAAAAGTAAGTACGTATTCCTCACACCCTTCCAAAAAGAATTTCAGGGAGCTTACAATAAAAGGCAGTAAAATCTTTTATGATGGTAGAAAATAGGAACTGAGTGATGAGCGTGTATTTGGTGTGTGTGGGGGTGCAGTGGGTGTGCTAACACACACATACACACAAATTCAGACTAATGGAGGTTTCTAGCATAAAACATAAAACAGCTTCAGTTTCTGGAAATCAAGGCAAAAAGAGAAACACAAGGGGTGTTTTCTATTAATGAGCAAACCCAGCTCTGGGAAGAAGAGTCTGAGGCTCTGAGAGAAGCTGCCCTGGATTCTCTTGAGCCCAGTCAGCCTGGGGTCCTGTCGGTGGTGGCTCCCTCTGGCCTCGCCACTACGCCCTTCTTGTGAAGCCGCTTAAGGGCAGGACAGTCAGTCATTCAGTGATTCACTGTCCCCTGCATTTACCTGTTGGATGCTGGAGACTTGGGGTGGTAGCCCTTAGCCAGAGGGGTTAAAGTAGGCTTTCTGTAGAAGCTACTTGAACTTGACTTGAAGGACAAAGAGAAATGACCTTGGAGTAAGAGTCTAGACAAAGAAGGAGATATTCTGGGCAGGGGAGGACATAAGAGTGAGGACTCAGGGGTAACAGGACCCTGGACACCCACAGTGAGGCTGAATGTGAGGGACATAGACTAGGGAGTCGGGGTGAGAGCCGCTGCAGGCTGCGGCCATGAGAGAGAGAAAGTGGCCCAGCTCCGAGATGTACTGAGAAGACGGAAGGGGACTTGGTGTGGGGAAAGGAAGGGTCACAGGGGATACTGGAGTCCGCACAGGGGAGCAGGTGGCTGGTGTCTCCTCCCTGAGGTAGTGAAGCCAGAGCAGAGAAGAGGGGAGGAGATGCTGAGTTTGGTGAAGCAGTGTCTAATCTCTGGGACCCAGAGGAAAGGACTGGGCTTGAGGCAGGGAGAGAGGTGTCCTCAGTGTCACGGGAGTAGCTGAAGCCACAGGAGTGGGAGACTGTGGGGAGAGAGGAGAGGAGAGGGCCAAAGGTGGATTCATTTAAGAGGCAAGTGGGGGTCTCATTAAAAAAGGCAAAGAACTAGAGGTCAGATGTGGGCCCTGAACTGAGCCAGAAATACCCAGGGCGGAAGGGAAGTGACACAGAGTGAGGGTCAAGAAAGATAAAGACGTTGTTTAAAGAGAAAACAATCTTATACTAGGCTTGTGACCACAGAACCACTAATTCAAATAATATGAACCTTTAAAGCATTTTCTTTAAGCAGCCCCAGATATTTAGGGAAACGAAATACTAAGATATCTATAATCAATCTATCACACTTAAAAATAGAATAGTCCTTAAGCAGTGAGTGTTTCATCTGACTTGCAAATTTTGCACCTATTTTGCCAAAGTCCTGATGGTTTCTCGTATCCATGTTCACACTCTCACCCTCATTCTGTTGATGCTGAGATCATTAAGATACACCTGTAGTTTGTATCTTCTATTCCAGACACAAATACAAAGGAATGTGGAAAGGGACGAGGGCATACGAGTGTTCCAATGACTCTTTTCTTTTTGTAGATAGCATTTACTGAGTACAGAAAAGGAAGAGAAGAAGTTAAGTAAGTAACTAAGAAAGTTAAACACTACAGAGTGTGTGCTGATATGACCCGAAGGAAACCATTGGTAAATTTGGCCTTTGGGTGAGATGAAGACGAGGCAGAGGGGATGTGGTTAATGCCTCTTAGTTGCTGGCAGCCAGGTGCGGGGAGAGGGGATACTAGGGACTGTGCAATGTGAGTTTATTTTGGGTGAAATGGAAATGATAGGGAGGAAGGTGGTGTAGATAAGTGAGTCCGTCTGCAGTTTGCTTGGAAGGAGGAGGAGGCTCCTCCCAAGGGCTTCCTCTGCCAAGGGAAGGAGAGGCCAAGTTTGGGGAGGGAGTGAGACATGCAGGAGAACTGTCCTGGCAGGTTGACAGAGCATGGCAGAGCCTGGGCTGGCAGAGTCGTAACTGCCCTCCATATGGCAGAGGCCATACTTCAGAGTGGCTGACAAGGGACTGAAGTTTCTAAAGCTGATAAACAGATTCAGGGGGTGGCTGAGGGCAGAGATGGGACAGTCCTGGAATTATGGATGTCAAGAAGCCAAGAAAAGGCAGTATTGGGCAGTGTGGCCTCTGGGGACAGCAGCTGGCATTAGAAAAGGGAGGAAGAACTGACTCAGGATCGAAGGGCATGACTAAAGGTGGGAGTCGGTGGCTGGCACCTCCAGCCAGGTTCTGGCCAGTTGTGTTCTTCCCAGGCCTGGTTTAGAAATTAAGAAAACCCAGGACTCACCAGGGTCGCCTCTTCTTCCGGGCTTGCCACGCCGTCCAGGGGCACCTAGGGAGGAAAACAAAGATGGATTCATTGAGAAGGGAAGCCAGGGGGCTTGGGAACAGCCTGCCAGCTGCTGGTTCCCCACTGCTGGGGCCCACCTGCCCACACCTGTGACAGTATCCTGGGAGCAGCCTGCCACATGGCCAAGGCTGAGGCCGAGGCCGGCTTGCTGTCCCCTGCCCTGGCTCCTCCAGACACTGGCTCCCTGCTGGGCTGCATTCCTCACTCCTTACTGTAATTCCACCCTCTGTTCACTTATTCATTCACAAGTTCTTCCCCAACCAAAAAGATATACTCCCGGGAGGCTCCTGAGGCAGGAGAGAGTTTACAGCTGAGAAACTTCAGACTTAGGAGACAAAGAAGGCCGAGGGAGAGAGTTTTCTTAGGAAAACCCTGACAAATGCTTTCTGGTATCAAAGAAGGGAAAAAAAAAAAGCCGACACAATCAAGACCAATAAAGACACTATGGGACATTTCCAACGCTTCAATTTGGTGACAAGAGGCACCATCCATCCACGGTCTTTCTACTACCATCCACTGGAACCTTCAGTTCCTTCCTTTCCACCAGCCCAGGGAGATGCTTATACATTTGTTGTACTTTATTGCAGACCATGTGCACACCAGCACGTGATCCAGTCCTTCATCCTGACTCTCCCCACCCGCAGTACTGGGGATGGCACCTACCGCCTCACACACGCTAGGCAAGCGCTCTGCAGGGAGCCTGGCCCCATCCATCAGTTTTAAGCCTTTTTGAATTTATAATTGCAGACCCTCCTGCCTCCACCTCTGGTCCTCTACCTGTATTGGTCCCTGAGACCCGGGTGGCCCTGATGCCACTGAATGCTGGCCAGCTCCCTGCCCTGGGTTGGAAGTCCTTGCCTTTGGTTGTAGGGTAGAGGCCTTGAAGCTTCTGTCAGTGTCCCTCATCCTGTCACCTCTGATGCAGCTCACCGCACACTTTCCTGGTGTCCCTTTGTCGTATGCTCTGCCTTCCTTCCCACCCCTCTAAGTCTAATTATTCCTGATTCTCCCATTTTCTTAGAGGAAAAGATATGCAGAAGTGAAATTGCAGGTAATTACTACATTGCAATCTGCAAATGACATTTATACCTCTGTCTTGCCTGATCACTATATGCTAGGCTCGGAGCTGGGTACAAAGTCCACAGAGAGGCAGGTATTATAAGGCATTGCCCTTTCTGGCAAAAGTCAGCCTCAAAATCTGTCAAGAATTCCCAGAATAACCATGGAGCAGATACAGGAGATTGGCTATGAATCGTCTGAGTTTGGTGGACCATGGAAAAATGAATGTATGTGTGTTTCCCTTTTTCCTTCTGCCCATTTTTGAATGGGAGGTCGAGCCCTTAGTATACCCTTGGCTCAAGGGTTAGCAGAGCAAAAAAGTAGCGCAGTCCTGGATCAAAGGTGCTTCCTGACTTTGGTTAAGAGGGTGCCTTGATGGGGAGGAGGGAGGCTTCAGAAGGACAGTGAGGGAAGAGGGCCCCTCAGTGCTTTGCTAGACCTTGAAACATACTCAGGCCCATGGGATGAGGTGACAGTGAATTTCCTGCCAGGCTCATAGCCTGAGGGTTTGAGGTCAGAATAGTTGAACAAAACTTAAATGTTTAAAATGTGCTGTCTCACAACTCTTGAGTCTTGAGGGGAGAAACTCATACCAGTGACATACCTCTTGATTTTCCCTCATCCTGGGCACAGACCTTGAACTTGGAGTTTGGAGCAAGATCCCACCTGAGAGTCACCCTGTCTCATCCTCTTTCCTCCACTCCCAGGGACCATGTTGCTTTGGGGGGGGCAAGATTCCAGCACCCCTATAAAATTCACTTGTCACACCTGCATGGGTTTTATAGCTTATGATGTGCCTCCAGGCCCACAATCTAGGCTAAGGCTTGGGACACCTGTGCTACTGCACTGTTAACTATGTCTCTGACACCTCCACCTGGGTGTCTTACCAACAACTCAGGACTCTGGTGGCCAAAATACCCTCCCCCCCTTTTTTTAAATCCCCTTCCTAGCACCTCAGTTGGGGATGAGGGGGCCTGGAAATGTCATCAACTAGTCATATAGAATAAGTAAGCCCTTGTGTGTGAGGGGCTGGTTGGCATGCTCGAATGATTTTTCTCCTCTGTGGATATATTTATTTTCAGGGTGACGGGGGAGTGTGGGAACAGGAGCCCCACCAGCACACTCGGCATCATGTTCCTCTGCTTGTAGCAAAGACCCAGTTTTCACCCCTGAAGTTTCAGGGCTCTTGCCAGGCCATGGAAAGCCCAAGCTTGGCTCAGGCAGGCCACTTGCCTTGGGCCTTACGTGTGGGACATGTCAGGAAAGGGGCCATGAATGGGAGAATAAGATGGGCTTCCTTTGACCTGAAGTGAAACCAGCATTGTGGTTTTCTGATGGTCATCACCGGTACAACTGTAAAATTCTCCGTCTGGGTAACTTGAGCCTGATTTGACTGCATTGAAGTGGCTGAACAAATGGATTTGTCTGGGTGGTTCTCCTGGGTGGCATGGTTAGGCAGCAGGCCCACTGGAAAGGGCTGCTAGCAGGGCAGGTGGTTGCCCTGGCAGAGTGGAGTGCTCCACCTCCCAGAGCCAGTGGGCCCAGCTCCCAGCAGACTGGAGCTGCATGGGAGCTGGGATGTCACTGAGCGGGAAGGGCCTGTGGGGCTGGGGGCCCTGCATCCTAGATGGATTTCCAACTGAAGGAGTCCAAATAGAGAACAAGAACGAAGTGGCTCATGAGCATTCTCTGATAGGTAATGTAAACCAAGTACTGAAGGTTTTTGTGTGACTGACTCATGAATGGACAACTGGTCTACCCTTTATTGTGAGATTCACACTCAAACCTTCCACTCCACTAGGAGGCAACATGTCCAAACTCCAGTTCATCTCCTAATTACTTGCCTTCCCTAAGTGCAGGCATCACCAGTACCCCAGTAGCTGGGCCAGATCCCACCTGAGAGTCACCCTGCTGCATCCTCCTTCCTCCAGGCCTGACCTAGACTGCTTCCTTATTGGCATCAGGCAAACTCCCCAGCACCCAGGCTTGTCTCCCATTTGTCCTTCTGCTCCTCCTCTGTTGGGAGGATTCCTTCTCCAACCCTGGGATGGGACCGGGTGATGGTGGTGGAAGGAAGAAGAGAGGGAGGGGGCCTGGGTGGGTAAGGAGGCCTCAGGTCTGTCCTCATCATTTCCTGGCATTCTCTTTAAAAGACTGTCGAGTTCAACAAGATCCAGGGCTGAGAGGAGATACAGGATCACTTGGTTTGATGGGCACAGGTATTTGAGATGAGGAGTGCTTTCAGCCTTTCTTTCTCACTGGCTTCAGGAAGATAGGTGGTGAAGCCTGCCAGAGCTGGTGAGAAATGCCAGAGGTGGGTTCCATGCTCACTACGGGGCTCTTACTCTGCTGCTTCTGCAAATAGCAAGGCAGACACACACGAGGACTGCATGGTGTAAGTTGCAGGGGTGGAAGGCCCGAAGCACAGCCCTTCATGAGTTTCTAGGTCACCATGGGGAGTGCACTTGGTTCAGCATCTCTTAGTTTGGATCTGAAATGTTCCCCCAAGGTCTCTTGTGTTTGGAGGGAGGATTCGTGAGAAGTTTTAGATCAGAGAACTCTGACCTCATTAGTGGATTAATCCACTGACGGCTAAATGGACTACTGGGAGGTGGGAACTATTTGGAGAAAGTAGGTCACTGAGAGCGTGCCCTGCAAGCATTCATCTTCTCTCCAAGTTCCCTCCTTTGTCTCTCTGTCTGCTTCCCGATGGTCATGAGGTGAGACGCTTTCCTCCACCACACCCTTCTGCCATGGTGTTCTGCTTCATCTGAGGCCCAGGATAAGGGGGCCAGCTGACCACAAGCGGAATCCTCTGAAACCATGAGCCAAAATAAATCTTTCCTTCTCTAAGATTTTCTCATCAGGTATTTTGGTCACAGTGATGAAAAGCTGACTAACAGCATCTACAGGTGCCAGACCACCTATTCATCCATGAGCAAGAACTTGGAGCCCTTTTGCTATACCCCCAAATAGTCCTTTGAGGAAGATACTAGTGTCCACTCTATAGATGAGCATTCTGAAGCTAAGCCAGATGTAAAGACATGTTTCTGGTGCTTTCTGGGGCTTTTCACAGTCAGTTTGCGGTTCCAAAGGTTTCAAGGACAGTCGTGCCCCATACACCTCCTGGAGAGAGGGGAGCCCACTTGGCTGCAGTTCAATTATCTGAGTGAGCAAAACCAGAACACTGCTCAGAGTTTTCCCCTTGTTGGTCCGTCTCTCCCATTTCTACAAGAAGGAGAACTCTCCTGCAGTTGCCGCAGACTCAGACACTCATGAGGGCCACTGTCTATCTTGATTTACCTGTTCACATGTACATGGGGAAACCATGTCTGGAAGAACAAAACAGATGTTGTCTGAGGCTGTTGCTGGAAAAACTGTTCCAGCTGCAAGTCTGCAGATGATGAAGCCTGGCTTGGGCTGGGAGAATGTCATTGTCCCCACCTCTGCAAGAGAACCATGGGATTCTGGGTCCAGGGTTGCCAACCGTAGGGACATTGATGTTTATAGCTGGTGTCACAAGAGTGACATGGGCAAAGGCCCCCATTTGTCTTTTATTGTCTTTTGGTACTAGGGGTTGAACCCAGGAGTGCTTTACCACTGAGTTACATCCCCAACTCGTTTTGATTTTTATTTCGAGAAAGGGTCTAGCTAAGTTGCTGAAGAATCTCACTAAGCTTTTAAGGCTGGTCTCAAACTTGCCATCCCCCTGCCTCAGTTGCTGGAATTATAGGCAGGTGTACTGGGCCTGGCAAAGCCTCATTTTTGAAGCTGTGGGCAGCAGACATCAAGGGTGGGGGGTGTGCCTGAGCAGGAGGGGAAAAGACCTGAGTGACATGGAAGCTGTTCAAATCTGAACAAGTCACTCAACCTCTCTGAGCCTTAGGTTCCCAGCCCATGAGGATAAGGATTTAGTGATGGTG